CAATCTTGTTTACACGCCGGGCGCAGGTCATTGACCTCCAACTTGCGTTGTTCCAACAGAGAAGAGCAAAATGTCTGGCTCCCGCAGAACGTACCGCACTCTCCCGCTGGACGTACCGCACTCTCCCGCAGAACGTATCGCACTCTCCCGGAGGACGTCCCACACTCTCCCGAGGGAAGTCCCGCACAGCGTCCTGCACTCTCCCGCAGAACGTCCCTCGAAAATTGATGCGTATTTCGTGGCCTGTGCTGTACCTACCAAAACACTTGAGTTCATACTGTCAAAATGGAATGGCTTTGAACAGGTGTTAATTGAGTTAATCCAATCAAATCCAACAGCCAATCAGCAAGAAGAAAAGATTAGGCTGCGTCAGGTTCATGCTTGCATGCCCATATATGGGCATGCCGCCGAATTTCTTTCTTATTACGTCACGCGCGTACGCCCCCGCACAGTACTTTCCTATGGGACCGCTAAAAAAGCAAATAAAACGATTGTAAAAGCTTGTATCACAAAAATTTAAAAAACGCCTAGGGGTATTTGCCCACTGTACCTCCATACCAAATTTCAGGACCTTAGGCCCTAAAATGAAGAAGCTGAATCCATTTAAAGAAATGGCAGGAGGAGAAGAAGAAGAAGGAGGAGAATCATCAGCAAAGACAATATGGTTTCACCACACCACTTCGTGGTGTGGTGAACCCATAATAATGCCATATGATTGGAGGTCCATTGGACGAATTGCGACATACCAAGTTATGCATCAAGGGAAGTATTGAAACATGTTTTTTAGTTTCTATCTTCACGTTTGAGCAAGAAAATATAGTCATATGATTGGAGGTTCCAGGTACTCACGGAATGTGCCATTAGACATACTGAGGGGGTGTTAAACAAACATGTTATTAGTAGGGAAAGGATATAAATAGGCAAGCCTACGCACAGAGAATATCCACTAATTATATTAGGTAAGGAAAAGAATTTAGAGTCAAATTGTCTTTATTTTAAATAACAATTGCATTGTGATAAGACTCAACCTATTAGTAGGCACATTGGGAGAACGCATTGTGCCTGCGTGAAACCAAGAAAAAGCCAGATGAAGTCTTATGTTAAATGTTAGGTAAACGTTGCACAAAATATTTTCCGATGCACATAATTGGAGAGAGAAGAAAAATATCTTTATATACCCGAATATGACTTAATACGATAATACACTGGTTTAAGAAATATATATTATCTCGCGCACAAGTATATGTATAGTCACGAGTTTTGAGGTTAACGTCATGTACGGGACGTGCCATTGGACGAATTGCGACATACCAAGTTATGCATCAAGGGAAAGATTGAAACTGTGTTTGAGTTTCTTCACGTTTGAGAAAGAAAATTCTTCTGATGCTTTTGATGCTTCTGATGCTTTTCAAAATAAACTATTGTGATTGGAGGTACCAGGTACTTACGGAATGTAACAATGGGCATACGGGGGGGGGGGGGAGGCAAACATGTTATTAGTAGGGAAGCGATATAAATAGACAAGCGTAAAGACAGGGAATATCTACTAATTATACCAGGTAAGGTAAGAATTTGGAATCAATTTAATTTTATTAAAAACGATTGCACTGTGGAACTGCGTAATTCATTTATTTACATTGTAGTATCAGCCTGCAATGTGGTTTTCTGCGAATTTTGAGAATAAACCATTAATACTGTGTACATAGTATATTTGAGTATATTACATCTTTATTCATTATTTTTAGTAAAGAATATAACTGAATATATTTCAGAATAAAGAAATTTACAGCATAAGATTTATTGATTACAAAATAGATTCGCCGAAACTAATTCCAGACAAACTAAACAACTGTCGTCATTAACAGCTTCCTTTCTTTACGTGCATTGTTTAGTGCACTTGATACAAATATAAAAACCTTAACTTTAGTCAGTCATATCTTAATCGGTATGAAATCACATTATTTATATATCTTTACGTTGGTTAACCCTTGTCCTGCTGGCATTTTTTACACAAAATTTTTCAATAATTTCATGTCTTAATTAGGTCATAGACCCCCAACTTTTTTGCCCTTTAGTGGCATAATTACTTTCGCATTCGGTGCGTTTCGCTGCGGTGTGATGCGTTGCACGAGAAATACCCGCAAATCGTACCCATATAGATGGTACTGTACAATGTGCAAAACAACAATTGTTGGGCTCCGCAGGACAAGGGTTTTAAAATGATACCTTTTTTTAAAATAATAATACATAAGACAAAAAATAAGGCTGAAGAAATTTTACCCATATCCTTAAACTTAATTCTGATATGTCACGTCGTAATGTTCAAGAATAGAAAATGGACGTTTAGACGTCAGATTGCTACATTTTTGCTTGATGAATTCCTTTAGGGCATGGATTTCTATTAGCGCATTAAAAAATAGTACCGGGTATAGATCATTAAAACTTCCTTTTTTCTTGGAAAATTTGGTGTCCTTTTGTCATTTTTTTTGTGGATGGGATAGACAAGGCTTCATACTCATTGATTTTGGCCAAAAAACTTTAGTTTAGAATGTTTTGGAGACCACTGGGGAAAGTAGTCCCAAGTGGTGTGATCAGGTTGATTTCTGGAGATTAGAGGTGAAAGGTCAGGTTTCCGTCTGTTTGTGGCCATTTAAAGTTTAAAGAGCTGTATCAAAAATGGTAGAATCTGGCTTGTGTACAATTCAGGAGGTGGGCTATCCTGTCAAGGTCAGTTGTCATGAACTTTTTATCCCAGAGGTGAGATTTTGACACCTTTTTTTGTTATTTGTATAGAATTTAGCAGTAGAACGCAATGGTATTGCATGCCCTTTTAGCTAAACCTCGTGCCATACAGGTTATAACGCAACGCTGATTATTAATATGGGCTGGATAAATCTTTAACCGGTTGAAGAAAACTATTTCATGATAAAGATTAGTGTTTCAGCCGCTAGTAGTTTTCCACCTAGTCGTTATCAGAAGTGTACCCTACGTTGTAAAACACATTAATCTGGGCGCTGTCATCACCCCTCTGACGCCTTATCTCTTCGCATGCGTCACTGTAAACAAAACAACATAAGTACATAAGTTTCTTGCCACCAACAGAATGTTGTATGTTTGCTGGGAGACCTATCAAGTGAAACACCAGTCATTTGTAATGTTATTATTTTATTAGGTAAAATATATATTTATAAAAACCGGGAGTCACCTAATCTATCTATCTATAAATTTATTGCCTTCGTTAAGTATGTACATGGAGAAAAATATTGCGACACTTAAGTACAAAATATCAAAGCACAACAAAAAATGGGAACCTTTTAACTTACCTTGTAAAAACTGATTGCTACTAAGTCTATTCGTATGTTTAGTGTTTGTATACCTCTTTGTCTTGTATGTTTTTGTTTATTTGAATAAAGCTTGTTAAAAAAACATTGAAGCCGTGAATAGTTTCATCACAGTCAAAGAAGTACTCTGTTATCATCTCTCTCCAACATAGTAGAGCTACAGCATCTCAATGACAGTTCCCTATGTTCATTACTACTTCGAGGGTCCACATCACTCTTACACCTACAAAACTGTAATGTTTTTTATGTAGTTCAAAACTTCATTTACTCTACGGGTAGATTCTCGTCATTAATAGATCACCAACTTGTCCTGTTTGTATTTGTTTCGGTTTTATCAACCTTGTAATTATGCATGTATCTTGTCAATGTGTTTTTTACTCGTTGTATGTTTTGAGTAGAAGAAGTTATATGAGCAACTTTTGCGTTTTGCCTAATACGCAATAAATATATGTGGATGAAAAATAGTTTCATCAGGTTGGTAAGTTACTGAGTAAAGAGATACTATTTTACACAATCATGTGTTTTATTCACAGCCGACGTTTCGCCATTTACCTTCCAGCATGGCAACATACATCTTTGCCCATATTCGGCATGTTGACAACTGTCAGAAGGCAACAAAACTTCTTCTTTTTTTTTTAATCCAGCGAGCGCTGATATCATCCATAAAAATTACTTGCTGTGACCTTACGGAGTGTATAAAACGTAGCAAAACACTCTCTTAATTGAAGCCTTTCTATATGTATTCAAAATAATGATAAAGATAATCACAGGAATTCAGAATCAATGACAATGTAGGTATTTTAGATTACCAAGAAAAGTACCCACATATCAATACCATTTGCTTATTCCTACATGTAATAAGGGGATTTATTACCCTTAAAAATCTATTATATTCATAATATAACCTGTCCTTTGGATGTATCATATGACCCTAATAAATGATGCATTTACCAACCTTCTGAAAAAGAATATGGAAACAGCGATGATGATTATGATAATGACGACCCCAGCTGCTACAGCACAGCCAATGACGGCAACGGTAGCTGAAAACAGATTTAGATTCTGTCAACTCTTCATATCCAGAACCACAGGCTTTATCGATAAAACATCTGATATACATGATTGTATTTAGTAAGTGCAATTTTTTGCTCGGAGGCTACTTGAAGGCACACGTAAGGCCATGTTGATTTGATTATATGGATGACATCCGCGCGCGCATGAATTTTCGGCCGTTTCCAAAAAAAAAAAGTTTTCAACCATACCGTAAATCGTACAAAACAGTTGCAAAATGAGCAAAAATATACCATAAGTTACAAAAAAAATTAATAAAAACTATACCAATGTCGTAGACTGCCAAAATCAAACGAAAAAAGACGAAATTGTAAAGAAATGAACTTGAAGACTAGATTATTCGCCAAACCATATTCTGTGCCATTTGCTCAACCCTCATGACCACTTAGATGTCATAATGAAAACTACCTTTTTTTTTTGCAAAACTTTTTTTTATTCGCACGCGCGCATCAGTAGTTTTGGGGCTCCCGGAGGATGTCATCCATATAATCAAATCAACATGGCCTAACATGTAGAAAAAAAGGTCGGGCAATGTAAAACAATAAAGCATTATAGGAATAGTTCCTTTACAGTTTACGAGGCCAAGAACTATGGATTTACTATCTCTTTACCTGATGTAGTTCCAGCTGGCTTGTCAGTTGACCCGTCACTCGTATCTGAGGGGGAAAAAAGATAGCTAGATTTCAAATAAAAAGTCAGTTATGAAATTCAATTCACTGCGGGGAGTATTAATGCATGCAACCATGTCTGACTAGTCAAAAATATTAACACAGGAAATGTATCAAATATATTTTGAAAGATAGGTAAAAGTTGGGTGTATGTTGCTGCTACTTACTGGTAGATGACGGCGATGTCACCTCTGGCCCAGAGCTTATTGATGTCGATGTTGACCTTTGTGGGGCCGCTGACGTAGTTGTTTTCTTAGTGGAACTCAGTAAATACGTAGTGGGTAACGTTTCAGTTGTTGGGGGTGCGGCTGATGTTGTGTTAGCTGTAAATTGCGGGACATTTAAAACATTTCAATCTACTGGTTTACGAGTAGTCCTTATACTGACCAAGCTAAATCCTATATTGCATTATTATGTACTAAATAAAGTTTAAAATGTCACTAATATTAGATGATCGAGATTTAAAGTAGCTATTTGTTTGTAATTTAAAATATGATGTACATATACTGATGCAATACTATGCAACACTTAAATATATATTCTGTTTTATCGCAAGAGTACGTACATACAATGAATCATTAGTACTTTGGCTTGAATGCGCAATGTAACTTACATTCTAGCTCACACCCGAGAAGTTCCAGACGAAGCGCTATCCACCACCTACCCCATGTAACCGGCATCAGTCTGATGAAACGCGTCACTATCGGTGGATCAATGTAGTTGGTCTTCACGATATCTGGGTCCATGATATCGATGTTACCTTCAAAAATCTCACAAACCAAACCAAGCAAACATTAAAAACACCACATTTTCATAATTTTAATCTATCTTAACCCTCACCATGTGACAAATTTAATTATAATAATAGTAGTTTATTGACAACACTCCAGATACATGGCAGCGTATGAAACTGCTGAATTACGTATTCAGGATTTAATTAAAAACAGATTAAACAATAAGGTCAGCTAAACAAACAAAGGGCATTGACAAACTAGGTACAAACATAAACTAGAGTTCCACGATCTCATACCTTCGCCAAATGATGTTAGCTTTTATGATTAGGAAATTATATATTAATCCCCCTAATTATGCAAATAGGATCCTCAATTGCATGAATTATATCTGTTGATCATATTCTCCACCAAAAGACAGTCTTATCTTAACAAAGAATGACATGATGACATTTTCTCATAACTTATGGAAATGAGGTCCTTATTTGAATAAGTTATGTTTAATTATGTTCACCTTAACCTAACTTTCAAACACCCCAAGTATAAAATTCCAGGCAGTTACCACTGCGCAATTATAACATTTTCTCATTAATTATGCAAATTAAGTCTTCATTTGCATAATCAATATTTGCCTGTGTTTCTCACATTCTTAATAACATATGTCACAAGCTTGAACTTCCTATAATGGAATGCAGCTGATAAATAGAATTTCCTCATTAATTATGCAAATTACATCCATATTTGCATAATTGTAATATCATTATGTCAAGCATCACTCAAGCTACCTACATACCAAAAATCACCATGATCCATCAATCGGTTCTTGAGTTATCCCCCTTTAAACATTTGTCCATTAAACCCCCCTGCAGTTCTAGAGCAAGCAACTAGGGGGCTCAAACTCATGTCACTTTATCCCCATCACAAGAGCTATCTACCATCCGAATTTCGTCACCCTAGAATGTCTGGATCATGAGATATCAAAACCGGAAGTTCTGCTGCAGTACCATGACAAGCCGCCAGGTGGCCCAAAATCTAATCATTTTGAGGTCTCATCAAGACCTACCCACCTACCAAGTATCATGACAATCCATCAAGACCTTCTCAAGTTATCGTGTTGACACACACACACACACACATACACGAACGCCCCTGAAAACATAACCTTCTTGGCGAAGGTAATAAATACTGGCTGTACACATTATGAATATACATCAGAAGTACCTACAAAAAGATTAAAAACTATAATTGTCCGGTAATGGGAGATTTCAACCTGTTTGTTTATTTAACAAATCAGTGAAATAGGGGATTGGACTCGTTTTGTACCGCTTTGTTATCATACGTAACTAGAGTTCCCCGATCTCATACCTTCGCCAAATGACTGACAAATTATAGATTAGATTATTCCCCCCTGATTTAAGAAATAGGAACCTAATTTTCATGAATTATATCATTTTATCATAATCTCAACCAAAAGACAGTCTTATATAAACAAACAAGGCATTCTAGTATTTCCTAATAAATTATGCAAATGAGGTCCTGATTTGAATAAATTATGTTTAATGATGTTCACCTCAACTTAACTTTCAAATACCATAAGTATGAAATTACAGGCAGTTATCATTACATAATTATAAAATTTTCTCATTAATTATGCAAATTAAGTCATTATTAACATAATCAATATCTGCCTGTGTTTCTCTCGTTGTCAATTACCAATGTCACAAGCTTCAATTGTCTTATTATGGAATGCAGCTGATTTATAGAATTTCCCCATAAATTATGCAAATTACATCCATATTTGCATAATTGTCACATAATTATATTAAGCATCACGTAAGCTACCTACATACCAAAAATCACGACGATCCGTCAACCGGTTATTGAGTTATCCTCTTAAGAATATTTTCAAGAATATATCCCTGCAGTTCCAGAGCAAGCCACTAGGGGGCCCAAACTCACGTCACTTCTTCCCCAGCACAAGAGCTACCTACCACCCAAATTTCATCACCATAACATGTCTAGATCATGAGATATCAAAACCGGAAGTTCAGCTGCAGTACCATAACAAGCCGCTAGGGGGTCCAAAATCTAATCATTTTGAGGTCTCATCAAGACCTACCCACCTACCAAGTATCAAGACAATCCATCAAGGCCTTCTCAAGTTATCGTGTTGACAGACACACACACACACACACACACACACACACACACACACATACACGAACGCCTCTGAAAACATAACCTTCTTGGCGAAGGTAATTATCATACTAACATTACGGCATCACTAACATTACGGCATCACTAACAATATGGATAATTCTATATCGTTAATGAAAGTAGTTTTTGGAAGGTAAACAACATCAGGCTGTTAGATTTTTAAAAGTTTGTAAAAACAGAATAAAGGGCAAAAACACCCTATTGTAAAAAATGCTCATGTGACACCTACTTTGTCTGATCCATTTTCCTGAAAAGTGTTCCAGTTGAGGTCTGTTCCATCGTCAGAGTACAAAAGTTTGTAAGATGTCACAAGATGCAAGAAGCGGAAGGACGCTTGTCCCTGAGTCTGAATTCCTGTTATTGACATCCTCTTGAGCAGATCAACCTGTAACCACTCGCTAGTAGAGAAGCTGCTTGGCATCCAGGCTCTGCCGCTGTTCAGACGAGCTTCCCATGGTTGCCAACTATCACTAACTGAAGATGACGCCGAGAACTGGTTGTTTCTTATAGCCCCTGATTCCACTCCAAGAGCAGAACGACAATCTGAGAACAATTGAATAAATGACTCTAAACTGTGTAAATTAGGCTTAGGAGTGCTTTACAATATTTCTCAAACATTTTTCTTTTTCAATGTGGTGGCTATACAAGAATCTGACAGATAATTTGTAAGTTCGTACACTTTACAAAACTATTAATTCAAAATGTCACCAAATGTATCACAAGTAATACAATTGCAAACGATGCAATGTGGCGAGTCCATGCGTTTGTATTTAAACCTACAAAGGTCTTGTACCTGTTTGATACCCCGGCCAATTTCGGGTCGCAGAGAGAGCGCCGTCTAAGAAAGGGAATGGGGGTTTTACACAGTCGCGCATGACTGAGCATAATGTACCGCACTGGGTAAACGACAGGACGTGTCTAAGCCCCGGTCACACTGGGCGAACTTTGCTGGAGCGTTCCTTGAACGGTGAATAAAATTCATCACCGCTCGAAACCGCTCACCACCGTTAAACAGAAGTTGGCCCCCGTTAGAGCAACGCCGTGTACGCCCGACCACCGCTGATGTTTCTGGAGGGGCCCTCCTACCGCTCCGAAAGTTTTGAGCTGAACAAAATATTGCGAGCGGTGAGGAGGGGGCAATTTTCCGCCCCGGCAAAGTTCACCCCCGCTCCACCAACGCCCAGTCAAAGTTTGGCATCGCTAGACGCAAGTTCGTGGACGCTTGGGTCCGCTAGGCCAACGCAGAAATCTTGAACGCTGGACCACCGCTGCTTCTCCAGCGTTGCCCGGGCGGCGATTAAACGTTGCACAAACTTTGCTGGAGCGGTTACAAGCGTTTTACGAGCGGACACGAGCTCGAGGTTGCTGGAACGGTGTCGGGCGTTGAAGCAGCGATCCATGTCGGCAATGAACTTTGGTTTGGCGTTGGTATAGAGGTGTCGGAGCGGTGACGAGCGTTGTCGAAATTCGGCCTCCGTCCCTACCGTTAAAGGAACGCTCCAGCAAAGTTCGGCCAGTGTGACCGGGCCTTTAGACTTTGCCTTTGTCGACACAAATTATGTAAAGCCAAAGCTATACAATCAGTATACTAACTTCTAAATCATTGACAGTTGCCTTGCTGAAACAATAAGGGCCAAAGTTTCTAAAAAAATCGATATGAATGTTTTTTTGGTGGAAGGCACCAAAAACAACGCAACATGAACGTTACTATTACTACATGTACAGTCCTACCTGTCGCTGCAACCACAATCATCAAGCTGACTTCTAATAGAAGTGGTAGGATCACACACAGAGGCGGTTTCATTGTGGATCGAGGTAAATACTTAGATTGAGCAGCACAGGTGTTTGAGTCGCCTGCTAGAAGTTTGTCTGGCGCACTAGTCCAAGTCAAAGTACAGTCACGAGTTGCGAGGTCATGGATCGAACGTGCCATTGGACAAACAAGGGGGGCGTCGACAAACATGTTATGTATGTACAGTGTATTAAAGGGGAGGTTATAATTTTTTAAAGAATAAATACATATGCATTAAAACAAGGGATATTTCTAAACGGCTGTTGGAAATGAAAAAAGGCACACAGTCAAGTTGATTTTTTTTGTTTGAATTCAAATACATGGTGGTCTTTTTTCTGAATAAACAATTAGTAGAGTAAATATCTTCTAAATACGTTTTGTGAACAAAAACAAGAAAGTAATTTTACTTTAGATAGCAAATGCTTCGTTACTTCGTAGGTATACTTAACCTAAGAATACGTGTTGACATACCTTACTAAATATTTAAAGTAAAATAGCTGTTATGGACATAATCGACTCTTGATCTAATCATAAGAGGGTATGAAGGTATTGGCATCAGATTTTGACTTTGCATCTGACATTAATTCTATTAAGAGCAAATTTATACTGGTGAAAAGGATGAACATATTTTTAAGGTACATAGAAAACGAGGTTTGAAATATCTCAAAATACAACTACAGTATTGACTAAAAATAACGAATAACTCTCAAATGCTCTCTATTCTTATTTTCTGTATACAAATTGACACAAGCATTTAAATTGTAATTAAAACGGTTAATAAGTCATTATTGTACTAAAAATACATGTACGTATAGAAGTCACAGCTTTTCAAGTTTCATAGGCTATTGCCTTTGCGACAGCTTCTGCTTCTACGAGCTCGAGTATATACATGAAATAAAGATCATTGATTGAAAAAAAAAAGTATCAGAGGTCATTTAACTTGAATCGTTGTTGTTCCAGAGCAGGAGCTATATTATCGTATAGCTTACATCTATATTATAGAATCAATATAACAACAGCAGATGGTCTTAGGATTCTGCAAATAAATGGTTGGTATACAAAACAGTATCATGTTCTTGGAATGACTGTACAGCGTGGTTTCAATATTTCTGTAAGCTCTGATACACAGCTGGCCGCAGTTCTTGATAATCTCCGCTAGATGGCGCTGGGGGGATGTTCACGTAGACGCCATTACTGGTGCCATGCTGTTGGGAGGTTGCCGAAGAATCTGTTGGAACGTTCCCGCCATGATGAGTTGTCTCTACCCACGCCTCCCTGTAAATAATACAAAGGTGTAGCCAACTTATAATTAGATTGGTGAAAAACTATAAATATCTCTAGTAACAAAATGTCAAGTTACTAAGAGTAAAATATATAAAATACTGTACTTTAAATAAATATAAAATATGTCTTTAGTTTTTTAATTGCATCTTACTGAACATCCATGTAGATGGTATCGTCAACAGTTTCCTCTGATTGGCCAGTGATGACATCACCAATTGTGGCGTAGGGATATGGACCGTTGCTCATCGTTTCTTCTGCTGATTGGTCAAATGTGGCATTAACGTAGGTGGGTCCATGTGATTGGCCAATTGAAACATTGCCGTTGTTAGAAGAATCGCCATTGGCTGTGAACATGATCGCATTGTTGTAGATTCTGTCTGTACTCGGCGTTTCGTCAGGCCGGGGAAACGATTCGTTACCGTCAGTGTCTTTGGATCGTATTCTGTGGGAGAGCAAAAGCAGCAACTAGTGTATAAATTTTTTCTAACTTTTTGTATTCAAGCCTATACATGCATAGTGGTAGAAATATGTAGGAATTAAGTTTTGACATTACAACGGTCCAACAAGAGTTCCATATCATGTAGTTGAACAGATTCTCAAATGAGTTGAAGTACCATAATGATTGTGAAAGTATTGTATTCGGAATGATATGTTGACCAACCTTCTAATGCAGAACATTGAAACCACGATTGCAATGATGATAATGACAACCCCGGCCGCTACTGCACCGCCAATGATGGCAGCTAAAGTTGAAAATAAAATATATATTAGACAATTTTTTCATATCCAAAAATACAGTCTTCATCCATACATACATGACAAGTCATCACTGTTTCCACTCAAATCTTGAAGGAAAAAAAATACGAAGAAAGAAAATAAATTATTTTCATAACATTGTGCTTTGGAAGGACTAAAATGCACAAAATACATAAAATTACATGTATTTTCAGTTGTAAAGTTTAAGCTTTCTTCCAACACGAGAAAGGAAACTCACGATATATTTTCGGTCGATCTCAGCAACCTTCGTCAGATAAGTTATGAACTCGCTGACAATATGATGCACTCGCCGAATTCCAGAGATCGACTGACAATTTATGGTGAGTTCCTTTCTTGTGTTGGAACAAAGCATTAACTTTACATGTATGGATTCTATTAACACAGATGAGCTTTCATTCAAATAAAATTATGTTGACGTGTATGTAGAAATATATTTCAACACAGTATCTGCCTAGGAGAACCTAAAGGAGGTGTATGTTGCTACTACTTACTGGTAGATGACGGCGATGTCACCTCTGGCCCAGAGCTTATTGATGTTGACCTTTGTGTGGCCGCTTGTGTAAAGCCACGCGTGGTGAAAATGAGTGTCGTCTCAGAACTCACTGAATACGGGGTCACTAATGGGCTTGGCATCGTCTGCATTGTTGTCGACCTAAAAGTCGAAGTTGCTATAGGTATAAAACAGTGGTTGAAGTGCAATGTTTAATACGTTAGTGATGATATTGATGTTGTAGTAGTTGCTTGATGTCGGCAAATTTGATGCCCTTTAGTTTCATCTATCATCACAGCCGTTTTAGTAAACAAATGTCAGGTTTTACCTAAAAACAGCTGTTATCTCAGTCCCCATTGTACTGATCAAGTAAAACCAACGAGCTACAAACCATATAATAATCATCTACTCGAATATCTACCCACAGCATTAAAATTATTCAAACACAAACATAACAAGAATTCTGAGATCTCATACCTCCATGAAATATGTAGAGTTTATGTAAATGATTTGTTTCATTAAGTAGGCAATTAATATAATGTAGTCTAATTTATGGTGTTTTAAACTCAACTTACAATATTTTGTGTGTCAAACTCCTATCATTTGGCAATATCTAATTTCAACATCTTCAATAATTATGCAAATTGCCTCTATATTAACAAATATATGCATAGTGTTGTTAACATGTAAGTAACCTACATGTCACAAGGTATAGAATTGCCATCATTCACCATTACGAAATCACAGAATTTTTGCATTTATTATGCAAATTAGGTCATCATTTGCATAATTGGTATCTGTGGATGTTCTATCTGCCATAGATTACATATATTACATGTATGAAAGTACTATAATGTAAAACACTGTCATTATAGAATTTCCTCATTAATTATGCAAATTAAGCCCTCATTTGCATAATTTGCATTTAATTATGTACATCTTTCTCTCAGCTACCTACCTACCAAAATTGATGAAAATATGTTGTTCCTATCTGGATTTATTGGCTTTTTAAGATTTCGCCCGAAAGTCCCCTGCAGTTTCAGAACAAGCTAGTAGGGGGAACAAACCCATACCACTTACTCCTGACAGGAAAAGCTATCTTTCACCAAAAATTCAAGACCATAGCATGTTCAGGACAAAAGATACAAAAAACGGAAGTTCTGCTGCAGTACCAAGGTCATCTTCCAGGTGGCCCATATTTGACCTTGACCTTTGTCTTCCTAAGACCTACCAGCATACCAAATATCATCACAATCCATGAAGGCGTTATGAAGTTATGCTGCGGAAACACAGACACACAGACGCGCCTAAAAACAATACCTCCATTTTTCATGGAGGTAAAAAGGTACACTGCGGTAATTTAGAAACCCCCATAAGGCTCACTCCCCTACTTGACCTTTGTCTCCCCATTAGAAGCTTGCCTAGCGCCTACTAACAATGTTGAACCACCATTCATAGCTTCAGTGTTGTACCAGCAATATCCTCAGTAACGTACTTCACCATAGCCAATGCAATAAAAAATAGTCTTCTTTTTGAGGGTAAGGGTAACTCACATTCTAGCTCACACCCGAGTAGTTCCAGACGAAACGCTATTACCCTCTCCCATGTAACCGGCATCAGTCTGATGAACCGCGTCACTATCGGTGGGTCAATGTAGTTGGTCTTCACGCCATCTCCGTTACTGTTACCTTCAAAGATCTTACAAAACAAGTAAGAAGAACAAAACAAAGCATGTGAAAGTTACATCAATAACAGGGTGAGAGTTGATATTTCCAGTTTGTTTTCTATCTATCACTATGTTAACTATTACAAATAAATAACCATACTAAGCAGGTAGATTTATGGAAAGGCACTCAACCTGTTGAATTTCTAAACAGGTTTACGTATTTCATTAGATAAAAACACACTGAGTGTGGTTAAACATGTGATTAAAGTACGTAACATTTCCCCAAAATTATATTATATTAATGGCTACTTACTTTGTCTGATCCATTTTCCTGAAAGATGTTCCAGTTGATTCCATCATTAGAGTAAATAAGTTTGTAAGATGTCACATAATAAGACCTGCCAAAGTACCTATGTCCCTGTGTCTGAATTCCTGTTATTGACGTCCTCTCAAGCATATCAACCTGTAACCAATCGCTAGTAGAGTCGCTGCTGGGAGACCATGCGTTTAGGCTGTTAAGACGAGCTTCCCGGGGTTGATATTGACTACTAAATGAAGATGACGCCGAGAACTGGTCGTCTGTTATGACCCCTGTTTCCACTCCAAGAGCAGAGCGACAATCTAAGAAGAATTGAATACCCTCTTTATTTGACGTTTATAAAATGTTCCAGAGTTCATAGACAAAAAAATACAAACTCTGCGAATCTGTACCTTGGACGTGCTGCTGGAAGCTAAATTGAATGAATCCGAGCGAGATAGGCTAAAGAATTTAAACATACGTTCATGACTGTAAATAACTACATACCGTACCGTACGTAGCCTCCTTTTCAGGCGTTCTCGGATCGGTCGTTTTTTTTGGGGGGGGGGGAGTTTTCTTGATCAACGTAGATCGCACGCAATAGAAGCTCCGGCAGGCAACCGGAGCTTCTATTTAGTGCGATCTACGTTTGATCAGAAAATACACCCCCCCCTTAAAAAAAATAGAGTTACACGATCTCATACCTTCGCCAAATGATGTCAATATCTATGACTGACAAAGTAAAGATTATTCCTCCTGATTATGCAAATAGGATCCTCATTTGCATTAATTACATCAGTTAATCATATTCTCCACTAAAACAGCCTTATCTTAACAAAGAAAGCCATTCTATCATTTCCTCATAAATTATGCAAATGAGGTCCTTATTTGAATAAGTTATGTTAATGATGTACACCTTTCCTTAACTTTCAAATACTCCAAGTATAAAATTCCAGAGTTACCTTTATGGAATTATAACATTTTAGCATTAATTATGCACATTAAGTGTTAATTTACATAATCAATATCTACCTGTGTTTCTCTTGTCCTCAATTACATATGTCACAAGCTTGAATAGTCCTATAATGTAATGCAGCTGATTTATAGAATTTCCTCTAAAATTATGCAAATTACATTAAGATTTCATAATTGTCACATAATTATGTCAAGCGTCACTTAATCTACCTACATACCAAAAATTACGACGATCCGTCAACCGGTTCTTGAGTTATCCTCAAGAAGTTATCCTTAATTTTTTTTTCAAAGAAACGCCCCTGCAGTTCCAGAGAAAGCCGCCAGGGGGCCAAAACCTACCTCACTTCTTTCACAGCACAAGAGCTACCTGCCATGCAAATTTCGTGACCCTAGCACGTCCAGATCATGAGGTATCAAAACCGGAAATTCAACTTCAGTACCACAACAAGCCACCAGGGTGGCCAAAATCTAATCATTTCTAGGTCCCATCAAGACCTACCCACCTACCAAGTTTAAAGACAAACCATGTAAACCTTCTTGAGTTATTGTGTCTACAGACACACAGACACACACACGAACGTCTCTGAAAACATAACCTTCTTGGCGAAGGTAAAAAAGACGACTGATCCGGGAGCGTCTGAAAAGGAGGCTAACTGTACTAGGTGAACATGTATAAGAGTTTGACTACATAATTCTAAAGCAATACAATCGGTATAAGCTTCAAACTCGTCGAGGTATTATGCTGTGATAATAAGGAAGTGACTGAATATTGATATGAATGGTTTAATTCCGTTTAAAAGATTTGGCAGAAGGCAACAAAACAACGCAACGTCAACGTTACTATTAATGCAGTCTTACCTGTCGCTGTAATCACCGTCAAAAAGCTGACTTGTAAAAGGAGTGGTAGGATCATACACAGCGGCGGTTTCATGTTGGGTTGAGGCTAAGACAAAGACTGCACAACACTGGTGTTAGGTCTCTTACTACGAGTTTGAGGAAGTCAATTCCGCTCGCGCACTGGTGCATGTCAAGCATTGTCACGTGGTGCGAGGTTGACGTCATGGGCGGGACGTACCATTGGGGGACGAACAGGGGGGACAAACATGTTGTGTACGCATTAAGGGAAGTTGTATTTTGTTTAGAATAAATACGCATGCCCTACGGACTATAACCTCCTTGGTACGTAGGTCTAAGTATACATAATATAAACTAATAACAGATATCGAAAACCGAAACAAATTTTAAAGTCAATATGATTTTTTTAAAACCTCAACTAGCAAATACATGGATAGGATACTTAACCTAGATATACGTGTTTGTTTACACATATGGTTAGAATTATCCTAGTGACATAAGTCTCGTTAGCCCCCACCTCTTCTTGTTCTCACAGTAAGTGGGTGCAAGGGACTTGCCATCTGGCCTTACACCTAAGTAAGATTTTTAGACATAGGCATGCGATTACCAAACACTAAACAAAGTTTAACGTATTCAGAGATATGTCCGATTACAACTATAACATTATGGTAACTAATATAAAGCATAACCGTCACAAGGTTCCTTGCATCTAAACACACTAAATGCTCAATGTACGTAAGGTTATTTTCTGTATACATATGAACACAAGCATTTTAACTGCAATTAAATGTTAGTAAGTCATTATTGTACTATTAATACATGTACTTATAGAATTTACAGCGTTTCAAGTTACATAAGCTATTGCCTTTGCGACAGCTTCTGCTTCTACGAGCTCGAATATATAAATAAAATAAAGATCATTGATTGAAAAAAATGTATCAAAGGTCATCTAACTTGAATCGTTGTTGTTCCAGAGCAGGAGCTATATTATCGTATAGCTTACATCTATATTATAGAATTAATATAACAACAGCAGATGGTTTTAGGATTCTGCAAATAAATGGTTGGTATATGAATCAGTATCATGTTCATGAAAATGACTTAAGCGTGGTTTCAATATTTCTGTAAGCTCTGATACACAGCTGGCTGCAGTTCTTGATAATCCCCGCTAGATGGCGCTGGGGGAATGTTCACGTAGACGCCATTACTGGCGCCATGCTGTTGGAAGCTTGCCGAAGAATCTGCTGGAACGTTCCCGCCATGATGACTTGTATCTGTCCACGCGTCCCTGTATACAATACAACAGTGTAGCCACCTTAGAGGGGTCAAAAACTATAAAATTAGTATGTCTAGTAACAGTATGTCGATTTACTGACAGTAAATATATAAAATTTAACCCATTATAAAATACATAAAGTCATATGTATAATTTGTCTTTTTATTGCATCTTACTGAACATACGTGTAGATGGTGTCGTCAGTTTCCTCTGATTGGCCAGTGATGACATCACCAATTGTCGCGTAGGGATATGGGCCGTTGCTCATCGTTTCTTCTGATTGGTCAAATGTGGCATTAGCGTAGGTGGTTCCATGTGATTGGCCAATTGAAACATTGCCGTTGTTAGAAGAATCGTCATTGGCCGTGAACATGATCGCATTGTTGTAGATTCTGTCTGTACTCGGCGTTTCGTCAGGCTGGGGAGACGATTCGTTACCGTCAGTGTCTTTGGATCGTCTTCTGTTGGAGGGCAAAAGCAGCAACCAGTGTATAAATTTTTTCTAACTTTTTGTATTCAAGCCTATACATGCATAGTGGTAGAAATATGTAGAAATTAAGTTTTGACATTACAACGGTCCAACAAGAGTTCCATATTATGTAGTTGAACAGATTCTCAAATGAGTTGAAGTACCATTTTGCAAGCTATTGTATTCGGAATGATATGTTGACCAACCTTCTAATCCAGAATATTGAAACCACGATTGCAATGATGATAATGATAACCCCAGCCGCTACTGCACCGCCGATGATTGCAACGATAGCTGAAAACAAAATATATACTATTTTAGACAACTCTCCAAATGCACAGTCTTTATTCATGCATGTTTGTCGCTAATACTCATTATCAAATTGCTTAAAAGTTTATATTTGATACCTGGAGTCACAATGGCGGATTATTAGCCTTGTTTCTTTCTTTTTACCTGATGTGGATTCAGGTTGGTTTCCAGCTAACACGTCATCAATGTCTTTAACCAATGACTTACGTCTGGAGTCAGCGAGTGCAACACACATCTGGCGAAGGTTGACGAGATAGACCGAAAATGTATGTGTTGGAACAAAGCTTGAGCTTTGCAACTATGGATTCTACCAACACAGATGAGCTTTTATCTGAATAAAATCATGTTGACCTGTAGACAATATATTTTGCACATAGAATGTCCCTACGGGAAATGAATGTTGCTACTACTTACTGGTAGATGACGGCGATGTCACCTCTGGCTCAAAGCTTATAGAAGTTGACCTTTGTTGGGCCGCTGGCGTAATGCCCTCAGTGGTGTCAGTAGTTTTCTTTGCAGAACTCACTAAATACGTACGCGTGATCACTGGTGCGCTTAGCATCGTCTGCGTTGTGGCTGTCTTTAATGTCGAAGTTGCTATTAATCAAAAACAAAATCGTTTTTACGGTTGTAGTCAGTTGAAGCGCAATTAAGTTCAGTTATACTGATCTCAGTAAACATTTCGCATTTATGTTACTTTTCACTTTTATACAAATTGTTTTGTTTTTATGTGTCCCTGGGCCCTCTTCGAAATCAACAATTTACTGTTGAAGAGGCCACCCAGGTGATTAAGATGAAATAAATAAATAAATGATTCATTAGTTAGTGCTGATATTTATGTAGTAGTTGCTCGTTGTCAGCAAATTTGATGTCTGAAAAGGCATGCAGGCCCCCAGAAAATGGCGCCGGGGAGGTCATGTCGGGTCATAGGGAGAGCTTATTTTCGTGCGGGGGGAATCTTCCGTGCGGTATGGATGTATTCTAAATTTAACCTCATGAAATGTAAAATTATTAACAATACAGGTTGTTTCAAGGAGTAACTATATGTAAAAATGTGTCTGACTTCATTAGTATTTTTTTAAATGAACGGCGTTGTGTTCTGAATCCCAAGCGAAGTTTCTAATATAGTAATAAGGTCTTCAAAGATCTTCAAACATCTTTTTACCTAGTTTAGTTTAAAATGTGGTAATCTCAAGCAGCGTCCGGTACAACATGAACAACATCATTAATCAAAAACAAAATCGTTTTTACGTTTGTAGTCAGTTGAAGCGCAATTAACTGATCTCAGTTAACATTTCACAATTATGTTACTTGATTGCATAATATACTTTTATACAAATTGTTTTATGTTTACGTGTCCCTCTTGGAAATCATTAATGTACTGTTAAAGAGGCCACCTAGGTGATTAAGATGAAATAAATAAATAAATGATCCATTAGTTGGTGCTGATATTGATGTTGTAGTAGTTGTTCGGTGTCGGCGAATTTGATGCCCATAAATTATAGCCGTTTTAATAAAGAAACGTCTGGTTTTACCCAATAACAGCTGTTATCTTAGTCCCCATTGTACTGATCAAGTTAAACCAACGAGCTACAAAACATATGATAATCATCTACTCGAATATCCATACATAGCATTGGGAGTTATTCAAACACAAACACAAAAGGTAGACTGCGGTAACCCCCATTAGGCCCACTCACCTACTTGACCTTTGTCTCCCCATTAGAGAAGCTTGCCTATATAGTAACAATGTTGAACCACTTCCATAGCTTCACTGTTGTACCAGCAATATCAACAGTAACTTACTTCACCATAGCCATGTAAACAAAAATAGCCTTCTTGAGTCTTGAGGGTAAGAATAACTCACATTCTAGCTCACACCCGAGAAGTTCCAGACGAAACGCTATCGCCACCTGCCATCTAACCGCCATGAGTCTGATGAACCGCGTCACTATCGGTGGGTCAATGGTGTTGGTCTTCACGCCATTTGCGTCCCTGTTGCCTTGAAAAACCTTTTAAATAACAAAGTATTTGATAGTTACATTGATAACAGAGTGAGAGTTGAGTTGATATTTCCAGTTTGTTTTCTATCTATCTCTATGTTTACTATTGCAAATAATTTACCACACAAAGAAGAAAGCACTAACATTATGACTGACAACTGTGATGTTGTAAGCAGATAGATTTATGGAAAGGCACCCAACCTGTTGAATTTCTAAACAGGTGTACGTATTTAATGAAATAAAGGCACACAGTGAGTGTGGTTAAACATGTGATTAAAGTACGTAACATTTTCCAAAAATTATATTATATTAATGGCTACTTACTTTGTCTGATCCATTTTCCTGAAAGATGTTCCAGTTGATTCCATCATTAGAGTAAATAAGTTTGTAAGATGTCACATAATGAGACGTGACAAAATGAGACGTGACAAAGTACCTATGTCCCTGAGTCTGAATTCCCGTTATTGACGTTCTCTCAAGCATATCAACCTGTAACCACTCGCTAGTAGAGTCGCTGTTGGGAGACCATGCGTTTAGGTTGTTAAGACGAGCTTCCCGGGGTTGATATTGACTACTCCATGAAGATGACGCCGAGATCTGGTCGTCTGTTATGACCCCTGATTCCACTCCAAGTGCAGAGCGACAATCTAAGAAGAATTGAATGCCCTCTTTATTTGACGTTTATAGAATGTAGCCGAGTTCATAGACGAAAAATACAAACTCTGGGAATCTGTACATTGAACGTGCTGCTGGGAGCTAAATTGAATGATTCCGAGCGAGCTATGCTCAAATATTTAAACATGCGTGCATGACTGGAGATGACTACAGTACCGTTCCGCACTGGGTAAACACGTATGAGCTGTTGACCTGACTTTGTCGACAGAAATTACCTAAATCTAAAGCTATACAATCAATTTTAGCTTCAAAATCGTCGAGGTGACATGCTGTAATAATAAGGAAGTGACTTAATATTCATATGAATGGTTTAATTCCGTTCAAAAGATTTGGCAGAAGGCAACAAAAACAAAGCAACATGGACGTTACTATTACAACAGTCTTACCTGTGGCTGTAACCAGCATCATGAAGCGGACTTGTAAAAGAAGTAGTAGGATCATGCACAGCGGCGGTTTCATGGTGGGTCGAGGCTAAGACAAAGACTGCACAACACAGGTGTTGGGTCTCTTACTACGAGTTTGAGGAAGTCAATTCCGGTCGCGCACTGGTGCATGTCAAAGCATTGTCACGTGGTGCGAGGTTGACGTCATGGGCGGGACGTACCATTGGGGAACGAACAGGGGGGACAAACATGTTGTGTACGTATTATTATTATTATTATTATTATTATGACTGGTTTATTTATTTCCACACAAATACAAATACAATACCATAGCAGCCCTTCGGCTGAATTGTGGTTATTGTTTACATTTAAACTATATAAAATCAGCTATAACGATTCGATACAACAATGTTAAACAATATAAAATCAGCTATAACGATTCAATACAACCATGACTTACACAATGAACATGTCAACTATCATTTAGTAACTTTACAATGAAAGGTAAAGTACTGTTCTTAAATCTCGATGTTCTGCAGCTAAATTGACTGATTTGATTTTTGGACCTGAGTTCTCTGCCATGTACAATTGCACGTGTAGGCGGTAACCAACTGGAGAAAGTAGGGGATCTTGATAAAGACACTGCAAACTTCTTACAGAGTAGGACTCGTCTCTGGGACAGAGAGGTAAGGGACAGCTGGCCTAAGGGAAAATGATATTTTGTTCAGAATAAATACGTATGCCCTACGGACTATAACCTCTTTGGTACGTATGTCTAAGTATAGATGATATAAACTAATTACAGATTTCGAAAACCGAAACAAATTTTAAAGTCAATATGATTTTTTCAAACTTCAAGTAGGTCATGGTAGGATACTTAACCTAGGAATATGTATTTGTTTACACATATGGCTAGAATAATCCTAGTGACAAAAGTCTCCTTGGCCCCCACCTCTTCTTGATCTCGCAGTGAGAGGGTGCAAGGGACTTGACATCTGGCCTTACACCTACTAAAACTAGGGCTTTTGAAAATAGCCTGGCATGTTATTTCTGAACACTAGTAAACAAAGTTTAACGTATTCAGAGATACGTCCGAATACAACTATAACATTATGTTAACTAATATAAAGCATAACCGTCACAAGGTGCCTGGCATCTACAGACATAAACGCTAAACGCCCAATGTACGTAAGATTATTTTCTGTATACATATGGACACAAGCATTTTAACTGCAATAAAAATTTTAGTAAGTCATTATTGTACTATTAATACATGTACAAGTCACAGCATTTTAAGTTTCATAAGCGACAGCTTCAGCTTGACAACTTCTGCTTATAGGAGCTAGATTATATACATGAAAGATCATTGATTAAAAATGTATCAAAGGTCACTTTGCATCGTTGTTCCAAAACAGAAGCTATATATATATATATTATTATATAGCTTACATCTATATTATAGAATCAATATAACAACAGCAGATGGTCTTAGGATTCTGCAAATAAATGGTTGGTATATGAATCAGTATTATGTTAATGAAAATGACTCTACGGCATTGTTTCAGTATTTCTGTAAGCTCTGATACACAGCTGGCAGCAGTTCTTGATAATCTCCGCTAGATGGCGCTGGGGGAATGTTCACGTAGACGCCATTACTGGCGCCATGCTGTTGGAAGCTTGCCGAATAATCAGTTGGAACGTTCCCGCCATGATGACTTGTATCTGTACATGCGTCCCTGTATACAATACAACAGTGTAGCCACCTTAGAGGGGTCAAAAACTATAAAATTAGTATGTCTAGTAACAGTATGTCGATTTACTGACAGTAAATATATAAAATTTCACCCATTATAAAATACATAAAATCATATGTATAATTTGTCTTTTTATTGCATCTTACTGAACATACGTGTAGATGGTGTCGTCAGTTTCCTCTGATTGGCCAGTGATGACATCACCAATTGTGGCGTAGGGATATGGGCCGTTGCTCATCGTTTCTTCTGATTGGTCAAATGTGGCATTAGCGTAGGTGGTTCCATGTGATTGGCCAATTGAAACATTGCCGTTGTTAGAAGAATCGTCATTGGCTGTGAACATGATCGCATTGTTGTAGATTCTGTCTGTACTCGGCGTTTCGTCAGGCCGGGGAGACGATTCGTTACCGTCAGTGTCTTTGGATCGTATTCTGTGGGAGAGCAAAAGCAGCAACTAGTGTATAAATTTTTTCTAACTTTTTGTATTCAAGCCTATACATGCATAGTGGTAGAAATATGTAGAAATTAAGTTTTGACATTACAACGGTCCAACAAGAGTTCCATATCATGTAGTTGAACAGATTCTCAAATGAGTTGAAGTACCATTGTGAAAGTATTGTATTCGGAATGATATGTTGACCAACCTTCTAATGCAGAACATTGAAACCACGATTGCAATGATGATAATGACAACCCCGGCCGCTACTGCACCGCCAATGATGGCAGCTAAAGTTGAAAATAAAATATATATTAGACAATTTTTTCATATCCAAAAATACAGTCTTCATCCATACATACATGACAAGTCATCACTGTTTCCACTCAAATCTTGAAGGAAAAAAAATACGAAGAAAGAAAATAAATTATTTTCATAACATTGTGCTTTGGAAGGACTAAAATGCACAAAATACATAAAATTACATGTATTTTCAGTTGTAAAGTTTAAGCTTTCTTCCAACACGAGAAAGGAAACTCACGATATATTTTCGGTCGATCTCAGCTCAACAACCTTCGTGAGATAAGTTATGAACTTGCTGACAATATGATGCACTCGCCGAATTCCAGACATCGACTGACAATTTATGGTGATCTCTTTTCTTGTGTTGGAACAAAGCATTAACTTTGCAACTATGAATTCTAACAACACATGAGCTTTCATTCATATAAGATTATGTTAACGTGTATGTAGAAATATATTTCCACACAGGATTTGCCGTAGTACGTACGGGAGGTATATGTTGCAACTACTTACCGGTGGAAAATGGCGATGTCACCTCTGACCCAGAGGTTATAGAACTCACTGAATACGGGATCACTGATGAGCTTGGCATCGTCTGCATTGTGGATGACTTTAAAGTCGAAGTTGCTATCGGTAAAAAAACAATGGTTGAAGTGCAATGTTTAATAAGTTAGTGCTGATATTGATGTTGTAGTAGTTGCCTGATGTCGGCAAATTTGATGCCTTTTAGTTTTATCCATCATCACAGCCGTTTTAATAAACAAATGTCTTGTTTTACCCAATAACAGCTGTTATCTTAGGCCCCATTGTACTGATCAAGTTAAACCAACGAGCTACAAAACATATAATAATCATCTACTCAAAAATCCATCCACAGCATTGGGGGTTATTCAAACACAAACACAAAAGTTAGACTGCGGTAACCCCCATTAGGCCCACTCACCTACTTGACCTTTGTCTCCCCATTAGAGAAGCTTGCCTAGTAACAATGTTGAACCACCATTCATAGCTTCACTGTTGTCCCAGCAATATCAACAGTAACTTACTTCACCATAGCCAATCAAACAAAAATAGCCTTCTTGAGCCTTGAGGGTAAGAAGAACTCACATTCTAGCTCACACCCGAGAAGTTCCAGACGAAACGCTATCCCCCAAAAACGCCATGTAACTGCCATGAGTCTGATAAATCGCGTCACTATCGGTGGGTCAATGGTGTTGGTCTTCACGCCATTTGCGTCCCTGTTGCCCTGAAAAACCTTAAAAAAACAAAGTATGTGATAGTTACATTGATAAGAGTGAGAGTTGATATTTCCAGTTTGTTTTCTATCTATCACTTTGTTTACTATCATAAATGAATTACCACACAAAGAAGAAAGCACTAACATTATGACTGACAACTGTGATGTTGTAAGCAGATAGATTTATGGAAAGGCACCCAACCTGGTGGATTTCTTAACAGGTGTACGTATTTCATTATATAAAGACACACAATGAGTGTGGTTAAACATGTGATTAAAGTACGTAACATTTCCCAAAAATTATATTATATTAATGGCTACTTACTTTGTCTGATCCATTTTCCTGAAAGATGTTCCAGTTGATTCCATCATTAGAGTAAATAAGTTTGTAAGATGTCACATAATAAGACAAGCCAAAGTACATTTGTCCCTGAGTCTGAATTCCTGTTATTGACATCCTCTCGAGCAGATCAACCTGTAACCACTCGTTAGTAGACTCGCTGCGTGGATTCCAGGCTCTATTGTTGTTAAGACGAGCTTCCCGTGGTAGACAGTGACTACTTAATGAAGATGACGCCGAGATTTGGTCGTCTGCTATAGCCCCTGATTCCATTCCAAGAGGAGATAAACATACTGAAAAGAGACCTTGTATCTTAGAATGATCCTACAATACCATTATCGGCTTCAATTCCTACAAAACTACATTGTGCATAACAGACCCGTTACTGCATACAGTTGGTGGAGCTATAAAAAATAGTTCTTTATGCTCGTACAAGGGCATTTTTTTATTATATGCACTAAACGATGTCGTTAATTATATGTCGTTAAAGATAGACATGGCTGAATATTTATTTATTATTACAATGCAGTTTTTGTTAGCCTGGGTGCAATCCTATTTGTATGCCGAGCTCTCATATTCGCTCCCAATTTTTTTAGGGAGTCAGTATGGGAGCCCCGGCATACAAATAGGATTTCACCTAATAGTAGGCCAAGTATTAGTGGCTAACCAATACAGAATCTACACCTTAAAGTTTGACAATATTACTGAAAGCTTACTTTACATGGTTTCTAGCAGGTCTTACGACACACCATACATTACTATTCAAAAACGTTCACAACAAAAGTCGTTGGATTTTGGCTTCGAAATCAAAATTCACTTGATAAAAGCCAAAGATGATAAACATATGCGAAATCATCGACAGCTTCCTTCTTTTAACGGGAAGAAAAAATAAAATTTAAAGTGACTGAAATCACACCTGGTCAAAGTCTAAAAAAAGTATTTGTTTAAGCCTATTAGGAATTCTATAGTTAAGAACCCCAAAAGTGACCTACTTCGACGCGGTAAAAAATATAGTAGGGTGCAAAAGTTAGGTACAGAACTTGCATATGTTTCAGTTCAAGGTATAATGCACAAAATATGTCAAATTGGGCTAAAGTTTGTTGGCTAGTTCACTCGTGACGCAATCTTTTAAAAGCGCTATGCGGAAGGTCATGGGACAGCAGCAAGCACACAGCACTAGGCTGTGATTGTACCTAACTTTTGCACCCTACTATATTTTTTACCGCGTCGAAGTAGGTCACTTTTGGGGTTCTTAACTATAGAATTCCTAATAGGCCAGAAACTGTGGCCTGATACCATACTGCAAGTTTGGGGAAGTCGCCTTGCTGTCTGGTGCAGGTCAAAGTACATATGGTCACGGGGTGCGAGGTCAGGGACAGAACGTGCCATTGGACAAATTCACGAGTTGCACATTCCCAGGATCCTTTGCGCACAGGGTGGGGAAAGGTCGCGGTAAACCACGTGACTCATCCTCGGCTCTGGTCGGAAGAAGGTGCCCTAAGCTATCTGGCCGATAGTAGGCTGGGAGCATTCAATTTCAAAAGTCTGTCTTTTTGTCACATTTTCACGTAGTATATGTTGAATCAACCCTATCCTATCCCATACCGATAGTCATGGAGCAAAAATTCGATGCCGCTTTGCCGTACGAACGCCGTGAAAAACTACGTGCTTCCCACCGCCGGCAGTGGTGTCAGCCATTTTTGAAATTTCCGAGCGCTCGCGAACACTTCCTACTTCTTCCGACCAGAGCCGAGGATGAGTCACGTGGTTTACCGCGACCTTTCCCCACCCTGTGCGCAAAGGATCCTGGTAATGTGCAACTCGTGAATGGGAGCATTCACCAGTTTCCCATCCCCAGAATGCAATGCGAAAATAGGGGGTAACCCTCATTTGCATAGGACTGGAAGGCATCGGAATGATTCTGTTGACGTTATAAAACTTTTCACTGTGTTTTGAGGTGTTGGGGCATTTTATGCTTCAACATTAATTAAATTACTATGGGCCGAATCTGACAACAAATAGAGAGTGGAGTTTTAGTGGTCTTTTCAACATAGAACATGTGGTTTGTAACATTATAGCATCAGTATAGCGCTTGTACTTGTAGTTTCTCTCAATTGATAGACCACCAACTTATCTCGTTTATACTTATGTTTATTTTATCTTTTTTATGTTACATATTTATGTTCTTGGATAAATGCTTCATATTAGCAATTGTGCTTTTGCCTGATACTAGTTAATTATATTATTCCTAATCTTCGAAAACGAAGCCTAGCCAAGAAGAAGTTAATTATGTATAAATCAATAAATCAATCATCTGTAAGTAGAAAATAAATGAGTCAAGAATTGTAGTGCATTTGTACACATAATTCCCTAACGACTCAAAGACGTTACAAAGTATTAATTAAGTAAGAAACCATGGGTGCATTTCTAAATCCCAGCATGCCGTATGACTGAAAAGACTTCACCTGGTACAAGTAAGTAACCCTTGCTTAATTTCAAGGCTCGAAAACTTACATGACCTTGGACTTTTTAGTATGTACCGCACTGGGTAAACGACAGTACGTGTCTAAAGCCCCGGTCACACTGGGCGAACTTTGCTGGAGCGTTCCTTGAACGGTGAATAAAATTCATCACCGCTCGAAACCGCTCACCACCGTTAAACAGAAGTTGGCCCCCGTTAGAGCAACGCCGTGTACGACAGGCCACCGCTGATGTTTCTGGAGGGGCCCTCCTACCGCTCCGAAAGTTTTGAGCTGCACAAAATATTGCGAGCGGTGAGGAGGGGGCAATTTTCCGCCCCGGCAAAGTTCATCCCCGCTCCACCAACGCCCAGTCAAAGTTTGGCATCGCTAGACGTAAGTTCGTGGACGCTTGGGTCCGCTAGGCCAACGCAGAAATCTTGAACGCTGGACCACCGCTGCTTCTCCAGCGTTGCCCGGGCGGCGATTAAACGTTGCGACACGAGGTGGCTAGAACGGTGTCGGGCGTTAAAGCAGCGATCCATGTCGGCAATGAACTTTGGTTTGGCGCTGGTATGGAGGTGTCGGAGGGGTGACAAGCGTTGTCGAAATTCGGCCCCCGTCCCTACCGTTAAAGGAACGCTCCAGCAAAGTTCGGCCAGTGTGACCGGGCCTTAAGACTTTGCCTTTGTCGACACAAATTATGTAAAGCCAAAGCTATACAATCAGTATACTAACTTCTAAATCATTGACAATTGCCTTGCTGAATTAATAGGGGCCAAAGTTTCTAAAAAAATCGATATGAATGGTTTTTTCGTGGAAGGCACCAAAAATAACGCAACATGAACGTTACTATTACAACAGTCTTACCTGTCGCTGCAACCACAATCATCAAGCTGACTTCTAATAGAAGTGGTAGGATCACACACAGCGGCGGTTTCATGGTGGATCGAGGTTAATACTTAGATTGAGCAACACAGGTGTTTGAGTCGCCTGCTACAAGTTTGTCTGGCGCACTGGTCCCAAGTCAAAGTACAGTCACGAGTTGCGAGGTCATGGATCGAACATGCCATTGGACAAACAAGGGCGTGTCGACAAACATGTTATGTATGTACAGTGTATAAAAGGGGAGTTTATAATTTTTAAAAGAATAAATACATATGCCTTAAAACAGGGGATATTTCTAAATGGTTGTTGGAAATTAGAAAAAAGGCGCAAAGTCAAATTGATTTTTTTGTTTGTTTTAATTCAAATACATGTTGGTCTTTTTTCTGAATAAACATTTAGTAAAGTAAATATCTTCTAAATACGTTTTGTGGACGAAAACAAGAAAGTCATTTTACTTTAGATAGCAAATGCTTCGTTACTTCGTAGGTATACTTAACCTAAGAATACGTGTTGACATACCTTACTTTAAAAAATATTTAAAGTAAAATAGCTGTTATGGACATAATCGACTCTTGATCTAATAATAAGAGGGTATGAAGGTATTGGCATCTGATTTTGACTTTGCATCTGTCATTAATTCTATTAAGAGCAAATTTATACTAGTGAAAAGGATGAACATATTTTTAAGGTACATAGAAAACGAGGTTTGAAATATCTCAAAATACAACTACAGTATTGACTAAAAATAACGAATAACTCTCAAATGCCCTCTATTCTTATTTTCTGTATACAAATTGACACAAGCATTTAAATTGTAATTAAAATGGTTAATAAGTCATTATTGTACTAAAATACATGTACGTATAGAAGTCACAGCGTTTCAAGTTTCATAAGCTATTGCCTTTGCGACAGCTTCTGCTTCTACGAGCTTGAGTATGTATGAGAATGAATGAGAATGAGAGACTTTATTTCCGTGTCATGCGCTATCCCGCGCCCGGCCCGTGTGGGCTTATACGACACCGATTCAATAAATTATACATAAACAAAAGAGAATCAAAGGTACAGATAACAGAATCCAAACAAAATATGAACATAAATAAAGGTGGGCTATATACAATAATGGTAAACAAATAAGTGAACTTAAAACAGATCGTAAATGCAAATAAACAGATCTGTACATAATGAACCAAGATCGCACAAAATAAATACAAGTACATAAGCTAAATCAAACAAAATAAGAGAAAACAAACGTGCAGAAGTAACAAAAAGTGACAACTGTTGATGTGTTATGAATACAGGTATTTTCTTCTTTTCCCCCACGCTCGATAAATGAAAGTTGCTATGTCAGATACACCCTCGTTAAAGAGCCACTTAGTTCTATTTTCATCTCTTTCCCATATGATGTCAGGTGATTTTGTATAAATTTTACGAAACATATTTTCTCGACTATATACATGAAATAAAGATCATATATCGATTAAAAAAAAAATATCAAAGGTCATTTAACTTGAATCGTTGTTGTTCCAGAGCAGGAGCTATATTATAGTACAGCTTACATCTATATTATAGAATCAATATAACAACAGCAGATGGTTTTAGGATTCTGCAAATAAATGGTTGGTATATGAATCAGTATCATGTTCATGAAAATGACTTAAGCGTGGTTTCAATATTTCTGTAAGCTCTGGTACACAGCTGGTCGCAGTTCTTGATAATCTCCGCTAGATGGCGCTGGGGGAATGTTCACGAAGACGCCATTACTGGCGCCCTGCTGTTGGAAGCTTGCCGAAGAATCTGCTGGAACGTTTCCTCCATGATGAGTTGTCTCTACCCACGCGTCTCTGTAAATGATACAAAGGTGTAGCCAACTTAGATGGGTAAAAAACTATAAATATCTCTAGTAACAAAATGTCAAGTTACTAAAAGTAAAATATATAAAATACTGCACTTTAAATAAATATAAAATATATCTCTAATTTTCTAATTGCATCTTACTGAACATCTGTGTAGATGGTATCGTCAACAGTTTCCTCTGATTGGCCAGTGATGACATCACCGCTTGTGGCGTAGGGGTATGCGCCGTTACTCATCGTTTCTTCTGATTGGTCAAATGTGGCATTAGCGTAGGTGGTTCCATGTGATTGGCCAATTGAAACATTGCCGTTGTTAGAAGAATCGTCATTGGCTGTGAACATGATCGCATTGTTGTAGATTCTGTCTGTATGTCGCCTTTCGTCAGGCTGGGGAGACGATTCGTTACCGTCAGTGTCTTTGGATCGTCTTCTGTGGGAGAGCAAAAGCAGCAACCAGTGTATAAATTTTTCCTAACTTTTTTTTTTTTGTATTCAAGCCTATACATGCATAATGATAGAAATATCTAGAAATTAGATTTTGGCATTACAAGGGTCCAACAAGAGTTCCATATCATGTAGTTGAACAGATTCTCAAATGAGTTGAAGTACCATTGTAGCTATTGTATTCGGAATGATATGTTGACCAACCTTCTAATGCAGAATATTGAAACCACGATTGCAATGATGATAATGATAACCCCAGCCGCTACTGCACCGCCAATGATGGCAGCTAAAGCTGAAAACAAAATATATAGACACGTTCTCAACTGTCCATAATTTATCCATGCATATTTAGCATTAATACTAATTGTTAAATTGCTTCAAAATTTATGATTAAAATACCGAAAGCCGAAAGAGCGGAGATTTTTTTCTCTTTTTTTTACCTGATTTGGTTCCAGCCTGGCCTCCAGCCGACAAGTCATTGGAATCTTGAAAGAAAAAAAAATGAGAAAGAAAATGAATGATCTCAAAATATTGTACTTTGGAAGGATTGAAATACACAAAGTACATAAAATTACATGTATGTTTAGTTGTAAAGTTCAAGCTTTGTTCCAACACAAGAAAGTAAACTCACCATATATTTTCGGTCGAGATCAGCAACCTTCGTCAGATAAGTTATGAACTCGCTGACAATGTGATGCACTCGCCGAATTCCAGAGATCGACTTACAATTTATGGTGAGTTCCTTTCTTGTGTTGAAACAGCATTAACTTTACATCTATGGATTCTATTAACACAGATGAGCTTTCATTCAAATAAAATTATGTTGACGTGTATGTAGAAATATATTTCCACACATGTATCTGCCTAGGAGAACCTAAAGGAGGTGTATGTTGCTACTACTTACTGGTAGATGACGGCGATGTCACCTCTGGCCCAGAGCTTGTTGAAGTTGACCTTTGTGTGGCCGCTTGTGTAAAGCCACGCGTGGTGACAATGATTGTCACTGATGATCCCCCCCCCCCGGTCCCCCCATGCCCAAAAAAGCCGGGTCTAG